AATAAAAAAAATGTAATAATTTGATAATTTAGTAAAAAAATGAGTAAAATTGATCATTTTCTGGTAGTTTTTTATTTTAAATTTTCATCTTCAATAAAAAAAATAATGTAATAATTTAGTAAAAAAAAGAGTAAAATTGGTAATTTTCTGGTAGTTTTTTATCTTTAATTTTCGTCTCGTCTTTTTCTAGTTTCGTCATTTCCTGTTTTATTTTGAAGAATAACCCTCATCTCGTTTCAGGTCGCTTGCACTTCCTGTTGTGTCACCAGTCCGAGCGTCTCCCTGATTACCTATTGTGTGCACCTGGGGTTCCTTTCCCTCATGTCGTTAAATAGTCCTCGTGTCCCCTTGTCCCGTGCCAGTGTGTATCGTTCCCAACCACAGCGACTGATCCAAAAACGAAAAGGAGTCGGATGGATAGTTCAACTGAACTTTATTGAATGATAATAAAGGGATGAAAGGATTGTACATTACAATACACGACCGAAAGTAGGTGATCGGCTAACATAGCTCTTTTTCTCCGTAAACTTCTCAATTCTCACTTCTTCGTCTCTTGCACCTATACAAAACATCATGGGATACCGAGTCCATTCTGTAAAACGACCACACATAGTCAGTCCCGAACCAGACACCAACCACAAAATGCCAACCGGATTCATGAACCAACTGCAACACAAATAGTTACCCGATATTAAACCACAATATCCCAAATAACAAGTCCAAACAAATCTTGGTTAAACCCAAAACAAATTCTCAACAGCGCCTGTCTTGTCCACAGTTCCCTCGTCATAGTTACCTTGCCTTAGATCCCGTTCCTTGCCTTCTGATCCTCCTGCGTTTTTGCCTCGTTAAGAGTGCCGTTTCAGTTTTCCTCCTAGAAGTTCGTCTCTAGTGAGTATTTCTTTGCTACTTTGTTTCAGCCCTTGAGAGACTTTACGTTGTTACTTTCATCCGTATTGTTTTGTGACTTTTCCTCAGCCTCGTTACGAGAGCCTCTTTGAGTTGTACTTTGCCCTCCGTTTTTGGAGCGCTTTATGTTTGTCTTTTTGTCCACTCCTTTTGAGTGCGTCTTTTGTTAATAAACTTTGGATTTTTGAAACAAGCTCTGCATCTGAGTCCTCGCTGAGTTCCTGAGCTTGACAAATAAAGCCCATTAAAGCCCCAAAAAACCCAATAAAACCCAGTAAAGCCCCATAAAACCCAATAAAACACACAAAAAAACAATAAATCCCCATGGGAATTTCCTCTGATGTACAATAAAAAAATAAAATAAAAAGCCCACTGGGATCTAAATAAAAATAAAACTTTGCTCAGTTGTGTTTAACCTCCTGATTTCTGCTCTGATGGAGGTTCTTCCTCTCTGTTCCAGGATCCTTCTTTTCTCTGTGACCTTTGACCTCTGGGCCTCATATCTATCAGACACTACTGTTTAAATCTAAAGGAAAATGCTTTCAGACGTTTGATCCAAACGGGCCAATGGGAGCAGGGCTGCTGGCCCATGTGACCTGAGAAAGGAGAGGATACTGTGTGGGATCCATTTAAATGGAGGGACATCTGAGTGGGGAATTCTGTAGAAAACCACTGAGAAACCAGCTTTTTAGGGCTTTAGAGGAAGGAAAATCATTTAAAAATCAGATTTTTAGGGCTTTAGATGAAGGAAGTAATTGAAAATCTGATTTTTAGGTCTTTAAATAAAGGACAATCATTTAAAAATCAGCTTTTTAGGGCTTTAGATGAAGGAAAATCATTGTTGCACTGAAAGAGCTCAGAAATTTCAGCATGTACACACATATTATATGTTTTATATATATCACATAGCACAACATGGATTTGAACATGAATATAAACTGATAATATAAACAAAATATCCAATAGTATAATCATGTCATTATAATAATTTACCATGTTTCAGCAGCACCGAGTAAAAAGGAGGAAAAAATCTGAAAAGATATTTTGTGTTTGTCAATGTGCAAAATGTGCAGGAATGCTGATAATATGCAGGGAATAACTTAGCAGCCATATATAAAATAAAATAAAATAAAATAAAATAAAATAAAATAAAATAAAAT